ACAGCAGCAACAGCAGTGGGTTTCAGGGTGTTATGAGGGCATCTCCTCACCTTCCTTATGTACCAGCATCAGCAGCTGCTAGTACTGATTTATTCTCTATGGGGTCGTGGCTAGCTGACCCTTTCGGTGCAGCTAGCCACCAGCTAGCTAGCTATCCAAGCACCCTCTTTGGTTTAGGGTTTAGCGACAGCAGCAGACTGATGAGGCCCCATGTGGGGCCCCCCGCAGAGCTGGTGGGGGCCCAGGCTCCCCCTTCTGCATGGATACCACCGCTCCCTTCTGCTGCTGCTGCTGCTGCTGCTGCTGCTGCTGTTCCTGTGGGCTCTACAGTGCAGCAGCAACGGCAGCAGCCGCAGCAAGAGAGAGACCTTGCTGCAGCAGTAAGGAAGATAAGTAAAACCCTAGAAGCTGCTCCGGTGTATATACACCCCAGAGCTAGACATTCTCTTTATTTAATTTCTGCTGCACTACAAGAAATAAGAACAACCAGCAACAAAACAAAAATGAAAGACACAGACAAAGCATCTCTCTATCAATTAACAAATGCTGCTGCCAGAACTGTAGGAGAAGTAGAGGTAAACCCTAAACCCTAGTAAACCCTAAACCCTAGTAAACCCTAAACCCTACTAAACCCTAAACCCTAGTAAACCCTAAACCCTAATAAACCCTAATACAGAGATAGATTAGGCCCAGTAGATAATTTTTTTTTTTCTTTGTTTATTTCTCTTTCTTTTTCTTGCTTTGTTTTTCTCTCTGTTTCTTTCTCTTTGTTTCTTCTCTCTCTTTTTATTGATCTTTCTATCCTTCTGTTTATTTATTTTATTTTATTTTATTTATTTTTATTTTTTTTGTTTTGTGTTTCTCTCTCTCCCTCTCTCACTATATCCCCCTCAACCGAACAAATAAATCTTTTATTAATAAAACAAATAAAAAACCTAAAAAAATAAAAACTAAACAAAACAACCAAAACCAAAAACAAAAAAAACAAATAAAAAATAAATAAATAAATAAAATAATTTATTTGTTGCTGCAGCGCTTCATCGAGGCCCAGCAGCACTTGCTGCTGATTTTGGGTTCCCTAGGGAAGCAGCTGCAGGCGTTAAAGCCGCCATATGAGTACACAGCAGCAGCACCTCTTGCTGCAGCAGCAAAAGAGATGGAGGAAGCAGCAGCAGCAGCAGCAGAAGCAGCAACGCAAATACCATCTGCTGAGCAGCAACAGCAGCAGCAGCAGCAGCAGCAGCAGCAAGAATTGCAGCAAGAACAGCAGCAGCAGCAAGAAGAACCGCAGCAGCAGCAACAGATCCAGCTGCAACCAGAACAGCAGCAGCAGCAGCAGGACGAGCAGCAGCAGCAGCAGCAAGACTCTTCTACGTCTACTAGTATACTCCTCCCCAACGAAGCAGCAGCAGATGCAGCAGCAGCAGACAACAGCAGCAGCAGCAGCAGCAGCAGCAGCAGCAGCAGCAGCGACGCATCAACTCCTGCAGCAGCACCTGACGGG